GACTTTTTTTATTTTTTAGAAAATTACAATGAAGGGAAAAGTCAATGTTGGCGTTATCATTATCATCATGTATTATATATCTGATAATATATCTATAATATATCTATCTGATATATATCTATATATCTGATAATATATCAATCTGATAATGGCTTATTGTTTTTATGCTACTAGTGCTTAGTGTATTTTTAGTTAATGTTTTTCTTAGTTCATATCTTAGATCTCATTACTGTTTTTCTTTTACGTACATTTTAATGCTTTTGTTGGATGTAACTGGGACCCTGTATACACAATTTCATTCCACCACATGTACAACATGTGGTGTGGAAAACAAATAAAGAACATCGATTCCTTGAATAATATATGATGACAATTGATTTTCACCTTTTCATGGATTGAACTGACATTTTAGAGATATGTTTTCAAGCTAATATTCTAGGATGTTGGAAAATGATGGAGTTGTAGCCGTTTGGGTCAAACCTTAAAATGAATATTTTGTGCAATCTTGGGCAACATCATGTCCTGCTCAGAGTTTTATTTAGGAGGACTCTCAGCTACCACCATATGAAAGTTTAGCTCAAATTCTGTAAAAGTGACAGGGACTTGTTGGTCAGTGCCACAGTCTTGCAATTGTAAAAAGTTAATCAGTTGTAGAAAGTTTCACTAAACTTCCTCCAAAGGTTCATGGAATATTTTGCTAAAGCTACAGACAATCAAACACACAAAGACGTAATCAAAAACATTATCACCTGTTGCGGAGTGTGAAAGGGGTGAAAATTATTGCTACCATATCCTGATACATGCTACCACTTCTGTTTGCATAAATCAGTTATGCAGCAATAAAAGAGGCTAAATAAACGAATCCACTTTAAATAATCTACTTATTTGATACTGAACATCTTTTTTTAAGACACAGTTTGAATAAACCATGGACTTAGGTTAAAGTTACACTACTACACCCTGCTGTGGGTGGGTGTCCCATAGAGAAGGAGTGTGTGTGTGTGTGTGTGTGGGGGGGAGGGGGGGAGGGGGGAAGAGCGTCTGTGGCTCCCTGAACCGCACATAAGACGACCACAATGGGCACGCTAGGCGCACGCCCAAG